ACCTCGATCGCCGAGATAGAATCTGAGCGATTCCAGCGATCGAGATTGCTAGGATCGCCAGGATCGCTGGAGAGTGTTTCCATATGATCGCTACGATCGTTGAAATTTTCGGCGATCGTGGCGATCCTAGCGATTGTAACGATTATATGGAAACCAGGCTTTACTCTAAATGATTATTTTTGCACAGTTTCATCTACATACAAAACATCTTTCTTTCATTATTCATGGGAAGAGTAAAACACACGCAAATGAATACAAAAGACAGGACACCATCTCAACAAAGACGCCGCCATGTTTATTAACATTTTCAAAGTTGCCCGCCTGACACAGGTATACACCCTTTTAATAAGTCCCGAGGTATTGTGTTCTCCGCACGTGACGTCAAATTTATTCTTTTGAAATTTTTACAATACAGAAGGAATTGAAAAGAATAAATTTGACGTCAAGTGCGGAGAACGTAATACCTCGGGACTTATTAAAAGGGTGTATACGGCGCGCCATGTATTCCATTTGGCTCGCGCATGCGCAGACAAATGTCCCTGCTGTTAAGGTGTAGCTTATTACGGGCCGAAACCGACCACAACGTACCCCTATATTCAAACTAAAACCAAATTGCAACCCTATCCCAGAAAACAAACAAACCCTATGCTAGACAAAATGCCAAGAGAAGATTCCCAACCACAAACCTATATAACCCCGGGCTATATAAAAGTCGAAAAACCATTATAAAAACAACAACAACAAAACTTTAACACGGTACACAGCCCTATAGCAAATAGTGTCCTCTCCCGCTAGGGGGCTTTTCACATTCCATTTTTCCATCGCTGGCTGATAAACAATTGATAACATAAAGTTAACAGAAAACAGTAGACCAAACAGCATGGAAACAATCAAATGCTCTTTATTTTAATTATAATGTAATAAACTCAGCATACACGAATTCCTTTCTTTTTTCAAACGTACGGGTCTGACAAAGGAAGCAATTAAACTAAATAGCATCAATTACAATTAACTGTTCATCTTAATCATCTCCTCAGGAACGTCACCACTATCATAACCCTTCGAGACGTTCCATCTTGTTCTTCTCCTCGCCACATTTATGTACWCGCCTAGGGAGCGGTCCACGTCTAGTTTTTGGACGAGGAATTCTTCTATGTAGAAGGATATCGTCAGGGT